AGAAGACGGAGAGTCCCGCCCCCCCCCCCCCTTGCGGAGCCTCTCAGCTGTGGAGTCTCCTGAGCAAAAACCCTACTTGGTGAGCTCCTGCTGGCATCAAAGCGGCGAGCCGGCGACTGGGCTGCTGCAGGAATCAGTTCGCTCTTCTGGAGCCCTCCCTCCCTCCCTGAGCGGAGACAGAAATGCGTGAGCCGCAGGCTAGAAACCTGTGAGCTGGCTCACACTCGCTCAGCTTGGAGGGAACACTGGTGGGAGGGTACCCTCCCCTTCCCCCCCCCCCCCCTGCAAAGCCAGGAGGGTCCCAGCAGCAGCGCCCTCCTCGGGGTGGAGACCTCCGGCGGTGGGGCGCTGCAAGGGGGCTCCTAAATGTCCACGGTGGGGGGGGTGCGGGGTGGGCGAGCCAGGGGACTCCCTTCCTTTCTCCCTCGAAGGGGATCTCTGCTTCTCTCCCGCAGACCCTCGAAGTCATTAGGACAACAGCCCCCCCCCCCAAGATCTCTCCCCCAAGGGCTGCGTGAATGGGGACTTTCCCTGCATTCTGTGGCTGAAGGGAGCCTGGACTGTCCCCAAAAGGGCAAGCAGCAGCAAAGAGCTCCCCTTCAGGACCAACAAGACTCCTGGCAGGGGAGGAGCTTCCCTGAGAACAGAGCGGGAGTCCAGTGGGTGTCCTTTGGGTCTCTTTGTGGTGCCAAACTGACCCTCTCCCAGAGGAATCCTAGAAGGTTCCAGCTGGAAGGGACCTCTCAGGTCACCTAGTCCAACCCCCCCCCCACTGCAGGAGCACAGCTGAAAGAGAGCCCTACAACAGACCCGGAAGATGGTCGTCCAGCCTCCGCTTGGAAACGTCCAGCGAAGGAGCCTCCACCACCTCCCGAGGCAGACTGTTCCAGTCAGGAGGGAGTCTGACTGGGGCAGCCCCTCCTCCCTCTCCCTTGTACCCCCCTCCCCACAGTACTTCCTCCTTCCCTCCCCTGGGCAGCCCCCACATCCTCTCCCCTTTCCCTGCCTCCTTCTCTCCTTCTCAGCCATTCACCCGACCTACCATTCATCTGCCTCCCTTTCTAAACTGCTCTCCCCCATCCTTGGGACTCAGGGCAGTGTACAATGTTTGGAAAACAATCATAAAGAGAATAAGTGAAAAGCAGGAACACAAACACAATACCCATTCAGGTGGCCTCCAAAACCAGATTTATCCTTACCCCCAAGGGGGAGAGGAAGGAAGGAAGGAAGGAAGGAAGGAAGGAAGGAAGGAAGGAAGGAAGGAAGGAAGGAAGGAAGGAAGGAAGGACCTCCCTTGCTGCCCTCACCCGTAGCCCTGGGGGAACATCTCGGTCTTATAGGCCCTGCGGAACTGGACTCGGCCCTGCAAGGCACGGAGGTCATTTGGCCGAGAGTCCCACCAGGACAACCAGATATTTTTCGGGCCAGGGATCACCAATATTTCACATTCAATTCATTTATACCTTTCTCCACAGTGAGGTCCAAAGGAGTTTACATTATCCCCCCTCCCTTTTATCCACACAACAACCTTGTGATGTAGGTTTGGCTAAAAGGATGTGACTGGTCCAAAATCACCCAGTGAGCTTCCACAGCAGATGGGGATTCGAACCTGGGCCCTGCCCTGAAGCTGTAACGGCTATTTATTTATTTATTTTACTGCATTTATCATCAAGTGGCTATCCTTGAAGAGTAGCAACCAGCCAGGCCTAGTTGAGTCATGGAAGTCGAAGTGCATCAAGTCCCGCAGAGGTTGCTTCCGGGACTGGGGTTCCCAACCTCCAGGAACGACCTGGAGACATCCTGGAGCTGGCAACCCTCGTCAGGCCTGGCTCCAATTAGTCCTCCCTCAAAGGCCAAAAATAGGCCTGGAAAGGACCCTGCCCTCTCCCCCTGCTTTTTTATTCAGGGAAGCCCAGCCTGGAGCACTGTGGTTGCCTAGCAACTGCCACTGGGGAAATCGATTGCTTAAAGCTACAGGTGCTCATTTTGTCCTACCAGTGTATTTTGGGGGGGTTAGATTTTTGTTTACTGCAGAGTTTGCTTCTCTACCTTCAAGTTTAAATTTCCCCCCTACCTCTCAGACTGCGCTGTGGTATCATAGGGTATAGCAGCTTGTTTACAGAAAACAAAGATATTTATACTTTAAAATTTCATGTATAGGCCAAAGAGTAGAAATGTACATGCTAGGCTATGAATGATGCATTTTATATTGTTATATCTGTGAGAGAATTTTAGGCTTGATAAGAAAAGTGACCGTTGCACATATTTCAATTCCCTCCCCCAATTTTCATTTATTCTGGGAAAGAAAAACAGTGTGGGAGGGCCCTTCAAAATCCCCCGAAATTTTATGTCTTTAGTTGAGAAGGAGGCAAGACGTCCCGGTAAAAGCCGGCACAAGGGATGAAAGTTCTTCCATCTGTTTCCCTCCCTGACAGGCAGTGGGACAGCATCGGCGTCACATTCCGGATCGTGTCCTCTTTAGCATAGAATGGAAAGAAGCCACTATGCCCTCTCCTCAGGTATGGGATGGTTTCTCTCGGAGAGATTCAGGGGGTAGTTTTTTGGAGCGGGGAGGGGATCCTTCTTTGCTGCAAGGCTGGAATGAATTTCGCTCTGCGCCGTGGCTTCCAATCCTGCAGAACATTCAAGGTGCCACCTCTTAAGGCTGTGAAACCCTTCAGTCTGGTGGCACGAAGAGACGGCGGCGATGCTCTTCTGCGGACCAGTCAGCGACTGTCCAGGGGCCACCTGCGGCCTGGTGCCGGTCACATACCATCACCCTGATGCAGGGAGGCCCATGTCCGGGAAGAGTCTGGGGATCTTTTCAGATGACAACTGATTGCCAGACTGCAGGTATCAGTTTGTGTTCAGAAAACGGCTGCTTTGGAGGGAGGGCTCTAGGCCATTCTATCCTCCCCTCCCCAGGCTCCAGCCCCAGATTCCTGGAGTTGGCAACCTTGTGCGCTCGGCAGAGGGATTCCCCCAGAGTAGGACGTCCCCTGCCCCACATCAGCTGCCCAGAGGGAGAGTTCCTGCTCCTCAACAGCCTGTTTTCCTTTGTCCACCGATCTCAGACTAAGATTGTGAACATCCTTAAAGAGCCAAACAGAGACGCTTAACTTTCCCAAAGAACCGTGGAGGCATATCTCAAATACCTTGGTTTGTAATATAGAAAAACGATATTAACCCTGGTCCACAAACCACAAGAAGCCACAAGGTATAGATATGGGCTCTGGGGCGAGTGATGCTCTGTCATCTTGGTGCTTGGGGGGGGCAACTGTGGGAGGGCTCCTAGTGTCCTGGCCCCACTGGTGGACCTCCTGATGGCACCTGGTATTTCTGGCCACTGTGTGATACAGTGTGTTGGGCTGGATGGGCCTTTGGCCTGATCCAACATTGGCATCTCTTATGTTCTTAACCACAGGAAGCCCTTTCGTTCTGATCCACCAAAGCAATTCTCATGTGTCTCCTGAGCATGTGAAGGTTTGTGAGCAATGCTCCCACTAAGCTATGGAGTCTTGTGAGCAAAATGCTACTTTGTGAGCTGCTGGCGTTAAAGTTGTGAGCGGGAGATTTGGCTACTGCATACATTAGTCTGCTCTGGAGCCCTCCTTCCTGAGCTGAGACATGTGTGGGCTGGAGGCTAAAAAAACTGAGCTAGCTCACACTCACTTAGCTGAGAGGGAACACTGTTTGTAATAGTGGTGTATCTCGATTCTCTTTTATTTTCCATGTTGCTGTCTGTGTCTCTCCTTCACCCCAGGGAGAAGCCTCTCTTCATAGCCAAGTGACTAAAAGCATCTTTACACAGTCAGAGGTGACCCAAGAGAACGGGAAGGAGATGGAAGAGCAGAACCCAGAAGGACCGGGAACTGGCAAGACAGCAAGGAAAGGCCCCCAATCCACCCAAGACGGGAGTGGTGTTGAATTCTGGGAAGGCCGGGGGCCAGATATCTGTGATCAGCTCACTGCAGTCTCAAACGTAGATTGTCGACGCTTCCGGCAGTTCCGCTACCGTGAGGTTGATGGGCCCCGAGAGGTCTGCAGCCAGCTCCACGGACTTTGCAGCCTCTGGCTGAAGCCAGAGAGGCACACCACGAAGCAGATCCTGGACCTGGTGATCCTGGAGCAGTTCCTGACTCTCCTGCCCCAGAAAATGCAGGGCTGGGTCAGAGAATGCGGGCCGGAGACCAGTTCCCAGGCGGTGGCCCTGGCCGAAGGCTTCCTCCTGAGTCAGGCAGAGGAGAAGAGGCAGGCAGAACAGGTGAGGGGGGTTCCCTCCAGGTATGTCCAATTCAAGCAAGGATATCTGGCCTTATCCTCAAGTGTTCCTGGGAGATATCTGTCCAACTGTTAATAGTCATAATG